CCAAAGTGCTGGGATTACAGGCATGAGCCACCACTCCCAGCCACCAAATAGACTTTAAATCAAAAAAGTTTACAAGAGGCTGGGCGTGGTGGCTCACAGCTGTAATCTCAGCACTTTGGAGGCTGAGGCAGGAGGATCACTTGAGCCCAGGAGTTTGAGACTAGCCTGGACAACATTATGAGACCTCATTTCTACAAAATATTTAAAAATTAGCCAGATATAGTAGCATGTGCTATAGTCCCAGATACTCAGAAAGCTGAGGTGGGAGGATCTCTCGAGCTTGGGGAGGTCACAGCTGCAATGAGTCATGATTATGCCACTGTACCCCGACCTTGGCAACAGAGTGAGACCTTGTCTCAAAAAAAAAAAGTTTACAAAAGACAAAGAGGGTCACAGGGTCCTCATATATTAATAAAATGTCCAATTCAACAGGAAGACATAACAGTTACAAACACTTGTATACCTAATGACAGACCAGTAAAGTACATGATGCAAAAACTGACAGAACTGAAGGAAGAAGTAGATAGTCCTGTAATAATTATTGGAGACTTCAATACCCCACTCTCAATAATGGATAAAACAACTAGACAGAAGATGAGTAAGCAAATAGAGGACTTAACCAACTAGGTCTAATGGACACATACAGAGTTAAAATGTGGAAGCAATCTGAGTTTCCATGGATAGATGATAGACAGGCAAAATGTGCTGTATACATACACTGGAATATTATTCAGCCTTGAAAAGGGAGGAAATTCTCACATATACAACAACATTATTATTAAGGATATTATGCTAAAGAAGGAAGCCAGTTAGAAAAAGACAAATACTGTATGTTCAGAAAAGATACTTAGGGTGTTCGAAATCATAGAGACAGAAAGTAAAATGGTGGTTGCCGGGGTTGTGGGGGAAAGGAGAATGGGGAGTTAGTATTTAATGGGTATAGAGTTTTACTTTTACAAGATAAAAAGAGTTCTAGAGATGGATGGTGATGATGAAAATATTTAATACCATCGAACTATACACTTAAAAATGGTTAACATGGTACATTTTGTTAAGTGTATTTTAACACAATGGAAACTTAGGAGTGGAGAGAAAGATATTCTATTCTGTGTTCCCCGGAAAGTGAAACCTGAAGCTAATACTTATGTCATATTATGTTATTAAAGAGCATAATCCCAAGGGTGCAGGGGTGAGGAAAAGAGAGCAGAGCATGTACTATTGGGCTGGCCACGTGTCGTCACCAAGTGCAGTTGATCACTTGAGCTCATGGAACGGACCTCTGAGCAGAACCAGGAAGCGTGAGTTCTGTAAGTGGGTCATGCGCCCATAGAATCTAGATACGGGGGACCTGGACCCATCAGCCATTGGTTCCGCACAGCTCTCAGAGACAGTACCCCGACCCCCAAGGTATTATCCTGAGCCAGCTGGTATCTTTGCTGAGTCTGTCATGTTCTACAGGCCAGCTGCACTTAAGTGAACCATCTGTCAACCAGACTCATCAGTTGATCATAGGGAACCTCCTTCAGTGAGGCCATAGTGTGAGTTAAGGAAGAAGTGTTATGCAACCAAGACAGGTGACATGCATGTAAGCATCTCATTTACTCATGCCTTCTGGACTCACGCCCAGGGCAGATTCTGAGTGTGTTACTTCCATAGTGCATTGGTTTGTTGCTGTACCTACCTGACTTGGTGAATCAAGGCATCTGCTGATCTTAGCACATGATGCACTGCTCTTGGGATTGCATGTTGAGGCACTCAGAGCCTGCCAGGATCTGGTAACATCTTAGGAGCTGTTATTTGGAGAATAGTTCTCTGCCCCAGAAGGCCCCACCTTGCACCAGAATACTTCAGGTCTGCTCTGAGACACTCCTGTTGTGGCGGCAAGAGAGTCTCATCTTTCACAGATACCTGTAGTACAATCAGAGCAACTGAATCCTATGGCTTAAGTAGCGTCCTGCTAATTGACAGGATTGGACCTATAACAAAAGCCTATGCTAGGCCCTACTTGAAACAGGTAGCCTTCCGAGTCACTTGATAAATTTCTTAGAGCAGTATTCTCAAGTGCAATGTATGCTACCTCCAAAATACAAAGAAGCCCGCTAAGTTCTATTCCTATTTCTTAGTGGTACAAGGTACAGTAGGTTGTCTTTTAGAGGAGGATGTTTCATTATGCCCCTGACCACTGAAGTCCTAGTTTTCTGCTCTGCAAAATGAGAATTATATCATTCCACTTCTGGGGAATGAGGAAAATACCCTATAATGATACCTAATCGCATTAACAGGACTAACTTTGCTCTGCTTTCCTTTCTTTGTTTCACTATAGATATTAGAAGAGCTTTTGTTCCATGTTTGGGGAGGTAAACTTGCAGCTAGAAAGGCAAGACGTGGGTAAACTACATTCTATTCAATGGCAAGTGTCAGGGAAATAGGATTCTAGAAACTTAGGGAAAAGGAGTGGAATTCCTGGCATCCGAGGAAAGAGTGGGGGATCTGGAACACGTGTGACACAAGTTCCACAGACTCATCAGAGCTGTCATTTGGTGGCATCCCTCTGTTTAATCAAGACCACAGTACAGTCTCTATCATATCACTGTCTTAAGTATTCTCAAAGAGTTCTCACTCATTCAGGAAATAAGCATGGGATAGCAAATTCTGGCACTATGCAAGGTTCAGGGATACAGTGATACATAAGACGTAGTTCTGCTTCTAGGGAGCTCATGGTTTAGCAACGTGGACAGTTGTATTGAGTTACCCCACAAAGTGATAGCGCATCCACAGGTGTGCACACCAGTTCAGTGGCTGTTAGATAGCTCTGTGGATACAGGAGTGGAGGATAGGATCATGAAGAAAGGATTCTTTCCATAGAGGAGAAGCCTTAAGAGACAAACTTGTTAATTTGCTGAGCACCTACTGTGTGCCAGGCACAATACTAGTTATGTTAAATGTATAATTTCATATAACCTTATAATATCACTTGTTACTTTTACCCATGAAGAAATGGTCTAAGAGAAGTTAATGAATTTGCCCATTCCAAAGCTAGTAATTGACAAAGCAGTTGTTTGCAACCAGGTGTGACCCTAATGCTCATTTCCCCTACTTCTGTGCCACACGTCTTCTCTCTGGAGTAGAGGCCTGCAGAGTTCCCAGTTTCCCAAACCGGGTAACTGGGTTACACTCTAGCCACCTTAGGATGCATGGGACTTTGCCAGCTAAGGAAAGAAAATGGCATTTTAAGGAGACCAAACAGCATGTGGAAAGTCCCGGAGCCCCGAGAACTGTTGGTGGGAACACAGGATTGGAATATGGGAAACTGCAGAAGCTGAGGCTGAAAAAGCTGAAAAAGAGAAGCAAGAGTCAGAGACTGAAGGAAGCCAGTGAAGGGATTTGGATAGGGGAATGTTGTAAGATTTAAGTTGCGTGACTGTTACTGTGGTGTGTGCATAAAGGGTACAGGAGGGAAGAAGTCAGGTGAGGGGCAGGTGGAGGCATGGCATCAGTTAAGAGACTCCAGTTAATCTTAGACAGTTACTGCCAGCCTGCGGACTGGCTCACTCAGACCTAGTCGTAGCCTGCCTTCAAGCTACATCAAGGATTTAGGGAGTTTTGTCTGCCTTCTACAGATGTTCTGACATTGCTCTTCTTAGGGCAATTAGTCTTCCTCGTTAGGTTGCTCCAAATTAGAAACCGAGGTTCCTTCTCCATGTCTTCTATTTTCAAACTCTGCGCATTCTCATGCATGTAGTTTTTATTCTTCTCAGGCACAATTTTCTATTTCAGAAAATCTAAATTTGTCCAAAGCCTTCTAGTCTCTTATAACCTCCGAGGTGTCAAGTTTCTCTTCCTTCTGCATCTGGGTCTCATTCCTGTCTTCTCCATCCTTCTTACTCACATTTTGTTTATTACCTATCTTATTGGATCTCCTGGTTGTCCTTTTTATGTTATTTTTATTAGCCTGTCTAGGAGTTTCCATCTTTTCTGAAGAGCCAGTGTGTAAGAGCTGTTTTACCATCTTGCCATCATGAGGGTGAGCCTACTTGTCAGACATGTGACCAGAAAAGATGGCATATTGTTTCCAGACCACCGGAGCATCATGTGGCTTCCATGTCTCCTAATTAGGGCTGGAGTTGACACTGAGCTTCCCTTCTGTGTCCCTTCCTAAGTGCCATGATGCACACGCTTCCCTCAGCCCAGGCTCCTGCCGACACCACTTCTCCCTTCTCACGCTGTCCGGTGGGGCCACCTTTTGGTCTTCTCTGGTCCACACCCAGACACAGCTACTTAACACCAGCCAACCCACCACCATTGATAACCAACCCGCCATCTCTGCAAGACTGAAAGTCAGTGAGCAGAGAGAAACCACCCCCCCAAGAATTTTAAAGGATCACTTTTCTAAAATCCAATCTCTGCTACAAAGATAAGCCTTGGCTTGTTTGTTATTCTGTTAACTTTTTAAAGGGGAAAATCTTAAACTTAGATTTCAAACATATGGCTACAATGAAAACAGGTGGCTGTAGATAATTCACTGTATTTAAGATAACAGTGAGAAAAATAAAATAAAAACAGGGGTAATTACAGATCAAATAGGAAGGCCTATATAAAGTTTTTCAAGTCCTTAACCATAGTTACATGTCCTGGGGAAAGGATGGTGGAAATGGAATAGAAAAACATAGTTATTAAGGAGTTCTGCTGTCTCTCTATTTTCTGTTAACATCAATACCATCTTTTCTGAAGCAGTTGGATTATCCTTTTTTCTTCTTATTGCTTTGAATATAGTTATAAATGTGATTTTAAATCTTTATATCATAATAAGCCATGCCACTGGTTTACAAGTCTTTGAGATGTATTCACTGCCTCAGTGATAGAAGTCACGTAATCTTTAAACTCAATCATGCTAGTTGTAGCAGTTGGTAAATTACACCCATTACATTACTATTAGGATTATTAGCGTGGCTTTAACAGATCTAGGTAGTCATTCTGTTTTGTTACTTTTTCCCTGATAGTACACAATGTTGTCAGGACAGGTTCCCTTCCAATCTCATGACCGAAGTTTGACGTGTACCAGCGCAGTGGAAATCATGAAGAAAATTAAAAAGGGAGATTTCTCCTTTGAAGGAGAAGCCTGGAAGAATGTATCCCAAGAAGCTAAAGATTTGATCCAAGGTAAGAATCTAATGAAATTTTACATTTTATATGATGTGTAGTGATTGAAGTAGAATCATCCCCATTACACATACATTTGTATGTCAATTACTCGAGGAATCCATGTGTATTCTAAAAGGCTCCTAGGCTACTCTCTCCAGCCTTGTCTTTTTATCAGAACATCCTCTTTAGTAATGGTCTCCACATTTCTAACATGAACTAGCACTTGGCTTCCACTGGCATCTCAGTCAAACACATCTAAAACAAACCAATACTTTTTGACTGTCCTTTCCCCCCAACACTCTCCTCCTCCTGTCTTTCATCCTGTCAGCAGTGGCACTGCTAAAAAACCAGATCACCAAAACAGAAACCTGGGCGTCCTCCTGGATACCTGCACCTGCCTTGCCTTCCACAGCCAGTCACAGAGTTCTACAGATTCAGCAGCGCTCGTAGCGGTCCCTTCCTTCCCATTCACATGTCGTTGCCTTTGTTCTCATCACCATTTCTCTCCCCAAATCCTGCAGCATCCTTTCACCTTGCCTCACTTCCTCTGACTTAAGCTGTTCATCATCTATCAATAGAGGGACTTTTCTAGAATCCAAATGTGATTATGCCTCTTTTCTGCTGGAAATCCTTTGGAGACTCTGCTTTAGGTCAGACTCCTTAGCCTAGCATTTAACATTCAAAGCCCCTCATGACCTGGTCCTGTCTGCCTTTGCTTCCTCCTCACCCCAGCTCTGCCGTTGCAGAATATTTGAATTCCTCAGGTGTGCCGAGCTTTCAGATCCCTCCGTGTCTTTACACACTCTTCTTAATCCTCTTCCCTAGCCACTTCTCCTTATCCTACAGGACTCATCTCCTAGAAGCCTTCCAGGACACCCTCACTCCCCAGGCTACACTCTCCCTCGGGCCTGCTAAAACACTGTGCCTGTGTATCTTGCTATTGCCCTTGTCCCTGATGTTATAATAGCCGGGGTTTGCCTATGTGTCTTCTAATAATAGCTCTTCTCTGCATCTCCATCTCCATATCTCTAGTGCCTTACTGCACTCCCTGACCTATAGAAGATGGCCAGTAAATGTTTGGTACATGGATGAAGTAGATCTGTGTGCTTTTTGCTGATTTGGAGCTTACCAGGTCACCATTGGGAGTCTTTGTTTTGGGTGTTTATTTTCTCCTGATTGAAAAGCCACTTCACCTGCAGCTTCCTAGAAATAGGCTACTGTGATTTTATCATTAGAATCCAGTATTTACAAAAGAATTTAAATGAATAGGAAAATCTAATTATTTTTGTAGGAGATTAAAGCTATATAGAAACCACCATGTCATGTGAACATAACTGAGATTTATTTCGGAGTTTGTTTTTAAACCATGTTTAAAATGACAAATCATAAAATAAGACTATCTATTCCCACAGGACTTCTCACAGTTGATCCAAACAAAAGGCTTAAAATGTCTGGCTTGAGGTACAATGAATGGCTTCAAGATGGGAGTCAGCTGTCCTCCAATCCTCTGATGACTCCGGATATTCTAGGATCTTCAGGAGCTGCCGTGCATACCTGTGTGAAAGCAACCTTCCACGTAAGGCCCTGTGCTCTGTACATGTTGGATGGTTTAAGTAGGAATCATAATCAAATGTTCTTACTCTGTAGCCTCAGGTACATTTTCTTTGTTTCGCATTTAAAATAATATGTGCCCTTTCACTTTTAGGAATGTTTTTATAAATTGCTTCATGGTTATAAACACTTTATAACAAAAAGTACACAGGGGACCAGAGTCACTGCTAACCCACAAAATACGTATTTAATTTTTAGAATGACCTTATGAGATGAGATAATAGAACTTTTTCCTCTCAAATAGACTAAATCATTTTCTTTAAAAACCATAATAAACATTAGGAACTAAGGCATATTTGAACTAAGGCATTTTTTCCCATTCATTCCACAACCATTTAGTACATCACACATTCTTAAAACTGGGAGGGATATGAAGTAAGTTCATTGGTATTAAGTATAGATTGTATGTTTGAAAGACTGAGACTATTTGGTAGAAACTGTGGATTATGCATATTTGTGCCAAGCAGATGCAAATGCATTAAGATAATTCATGTAAAGTATAGTATAAGATGAGTTAGGGAGACAGAAACTCACCTTCAAAGGGATTATTTTGAGAAAGGAGAAGGGATAGGGATAGCGCTTCTTCAGCAGCAGAAATGGATTCAAAAAGTAATAAACTAGGAAATGTTGAGACGGTGAAGAGATTAACCGCAAGAATTTCTATCAGATGATTCAAATCTTCTCAGTGACATAGGTTGCAGGGTGACAACTACAAGTTGTAACTGCAGCATTGTCCAAGCCTAGGCCAAGGAGAGTGAAGACAGCCTGCAGGAGGAGGAAGCCAGGGCGAGGCTGTAGAGCTGTGCTTTTCTGTGCGTGTAAGTGTCCAGTATATACCCAAACGTCATTGAATGGGAGTGAAGAGCCAAGACTCATAATGCATCCAGTCTGCTTGCATTGGGACTTTGTGTGCAGAATTTTAAATCTTAGACACAGAACCATTAAAAGTAATGGGAGTAGTTTAGATTTACTGATGGTCTTCAGGAATTTCCAGTCAATTGTTTCATATTAGGATGTAGTACTAACTTTTTCAAAAGATTTATTAGAATTGTGACTCTCAGACAACCCAGCTAGTTTGATTTAAACAGAGCCCTCAGAAATTTTTTCCCATGAACTTCTCCACCCTGCCGATAGGCTTAGATACAAAGGTTTTAAGAGCTTTGTTCCCTTAAAACAACTTGGGGCTGCAGTTGCCAATGGAAAGTTGTCTTCTGCTGTAAGTCATAACTGCTAGGAAAACTTCAGTACTTTTACCTTCACAGGGGTTCCCTTTTTTCTCCCCTAGGCCTTTAACAAATACAAGAGAGAGGGATTTTGCCTTCAGAATGTCGATAAGGCCCCTTTGGCTAAGAGAAGAAAAATGAAAAAGACTAGCACCAGTACCGAGACGCGCAGCAGTTCCAGTGAGAGTTCCCATTCTTCTTCCTCTCATTCTCACGGTAAAACTACACCCACCAAGACACTGCAGCCCAGCAATCCTGCCGACAGCAATAACCCGGAGACCCTCTTCCAGTTCTCAGACTCAGTAGCTTAGGCATGGTAGGAGTGTGTCAGTGATCCATTGCACCTTTATTCCCTCAGCATATGCCTGAGGTGATCTTTTATGCTTTTAAAAATGTTTCCCGTTGGTCTCATTGGAATCTGCCTCCTAATGATTTTTTTCAGGAAAACCTGTTCGGTTATCCTCATCTAAAAGCACTGGACAGAGAATGTTACTGTGAATAGAGCACATATTACTTTTTAGCAAGCTAGCATGATGCCAACAAGACCATTCTTGAAAGAGCAAAGGTTCCTGTAAATTTAACTAGGACTAGATTTGAGCTGCTTGCAGAATAAGTCGCAGGTTTTCCAGATGTCTGCCAACAAGAAATGACTCATACTGTGATGATACCTTTTGCTTTGCCTTGTGGACAATGTGGGTTTTTGAAATTTGCACCCTTCAAACAGTGATTTATCAGAGAAAGGGGTCTGTTTTCAAAAAAGATTCTGTAATGAATTTTATGTGTGGCATATACTTATTTCTTGAGAGAAGATTTTAACTTATTGTTTTTATTTTATGGTTACATATGATGATAACCTGCTATTGTTAATCTTTTTCTAAAAAGTGGAAAAAAAAAAAGATATAAGAACTCAAGGTCCCATACTCTGTATTCGGGATCCATCTGAGATGCATGCTAAGCTATGTGTATGTTTTTAATTTTGCACTGCTCTTTCCTGGCAATTTGTTTTAATGGTTATTGCAGAATATTAAGGTACATGTCTCTCTGTTTTAAGTAATATTGCACTTTATAAAAAAGTATGAATAAAGCAAACTATTTTGTAAAGTGCACTGTTTAAAGCATTTGCACTGTATTTTTGCCATTTATTTTCATTTTCTACTTTAAATTTGTCCTCACATCCCTCTTCTACTTTGTATGCAACAAGTAGAATGGGGCATGTTGTGTAATGTAGTCAGCCTCTTATGCACCAATGTGAGGAAAACCTAAAGGGAAATTATACTAAACACTGTGCTTCATATCTGTACACTGTGTTGTACTACAGTGAGGAATTTCCTCCTGTGGTCATATATTATGTACATAATATTTTAGGATCATACCTATGACTTGTTTGGAAATTTTTCTGTTAAATTTTAAATCCAGAAAGCATATTTTATAAACTTATGCAGAGCACTTTTATTGCTCAAAAGTTCTGAATTCATACAGAAAACAAGTACTATGTGATGAAAACATTTCATTAAAAGATTGCTGCATTTAAAAATACAATTCATTCATTCATTCCCTGTGCAAAAAAAAAAAAAAAAGTGATAGGATTTGTATGTTATATTTTCTTTTAAAGCCATCATGTGAAATGTCAGGACTGAGAAAAGTGATTTTTTTGCTTTGTTTACAGGAATCATGCTTAAAGAGATATGCCCAACATGTTTATTTTATAGTTTTTGTTAATGATAACCTTTTGAGCATTAGTTTGGAATTTGGATATGATATTTATTTATTCCTTTCTTGAGGTTATAGCAGCATTAATTTCAACCAGTTATGAATACTAAAAAATATTGCACTCTATGTAATAGTAGTATATTTATTACTAAATCAATGTATATATTAATAGCACAGGCAAAACATGGCAAATATTAAAATATTTTCAAAATGTTATATTATCCTGTTCACATTTTTGTCCACAGTGGTTATTGGGAATAATATTTTTTACTTTTTGCTGGCCCAAATGACTACATAATATTGAGTTAATGAAAGTTTCGTACTCCCAGCTTTCAGTTATTCCTAGTAATTATGGGAAATTTTGTGTGAATTATTACCAAACTATTACTAATTCACAAAATGTGATTCCATCAGGCACAGATCTCTAGTAATCAAGAAAATGACCATATTTATAATTATATTGCATATATTTGAAACGTATTTGGCTCTTCAAGCCATTTTTTAAACTGTGCATGCTAGTAGAAAATACTAGTTGTAAAGTACAAACTAAAGGGACTATGTTGCTAATAGAAAATGATCCAGAAAAATGGTCAGGCAGTATACAGATTGATGATGTGATTGATTTCATTGTGAATATTGGAAATTAATGGGTCTCATTTTCATTTATGTCCCTTGCCTCTTCTGGAGGAGGACTTGACAGACAATGAAATGGGTAAAAAGGCAGTCAGACTAACAGGAAGAAGGAAAGATAGGCTAGCCATCAACTGATGAGCCTGCCTGAATCATCTCAAATGGGCTTTTGAAAAGACCTTAACAAACACTGTTGCCCTCTCGTCAAATATCTTTATCCACATCCTACTTGTAAGTACCAAAAAGACAGCATTTGATGCCAAGTTTGAAGCAGTTAGGTTGTATGCAGGCTGTGTGTTAACATACAGTGAATTGCGCTTTAAAATTCAGAAAGCTTTCATTTGGTCACATCAAAAATAAACACTACAAAATACTTTATATAAAAATGTTAAATGATAGCACTCTTTTGGTATTAAGAGTAAAATAGAAGAAGATCTAAGAAATACAAATACATTAGTTCTCTTTGTGACATTAACTTTGGGACTAGAGCCACATCACCCCCTCCCTTCTTCACTTATTGATTGTATTGTATATAATTTTCATGCCAACACAAATCCTGATTCATGTATTTTGTAACTGTATGTGACGAATCGAGAGGCAAAAATAAGAAAAGGAAGATAATAGAGGAAAGATGTTAAGAAAGACCAATGTCTTCTCATTACTCTGCCAGATCCTGTGTCTGAAAGAGGTTAATTAGCATTTTGAAAATCATTGGCTGAGTGTGGTGGCTCAGACTGTAATCCTGGTGCTTTGGGAGTACAAGACTGGAGAATCACTTGAAGCCGGGAGTTAGAGACCAACCTGGGCAATATAGTGAGACATTCTGTCTCCAAATATAAAAATAAAAATTAGCTGAGCATGGTGGCTCATGCATGTAGCCCTAGCTACTCAGGAGTCCAGAGTATGGAGGATCACCTGAGCCCAGGAGTTCGAGGCTGCAGTGAGCTATGATCATGCCACTGCACTCCAGCCTGGGCAACAGAGCGAGACCCTGTCTTAAGAAAAAAAGAAATTCATTAATTCTTCCAAACCTTTATAAAGTAAGAAGCCACTGAATTACTAGAATAGAAAGTCAGTCTCCTGAGTTAATCTCCACATTGTTGTCTGTCTTGGAGTCACAGGTTCATTACCCAAGAAAACTGCCTTTTAATTTTTTTTTTAGATTACTGCTGATTTCAAGTATGTAAATGACTTTTAAATATAAGGTAAGTTATTTTACAGAAGTCTACTAAGATAGAAGTCACCTTTTTAAAGTAAGGACATTCCTTTTATATCTCAGTTTATGTTCTTAAATACAGTACTTTATAAAAGTATACAATTTACCGGGTACTAATTCAGACTGCCCCCATTTCAAGCACCTGTTATTGTCATATTTATTAAGAACAGGGTACCTCATAATGGTGACAATTCCTAAATTATTGGGTCTATATGTGCCTTACACCACCTGATTACTTTGGCTATTCTCCCAATGACTGATAATAATAGCATGATTTGAGTGTTCATGTGAAAATACATCTAATATTCCTTAAGATCCAAGTAAATAAGTTAATTTCTGATATGCCACTTATGTCAAAATAATTGTCATATAGATGAATTATTACTGTAACATCATGAAGTATCTTAAAATTATATGACTTTTGGCCCCTCAAATGTCTTACATGATAATACCCCAATTTCCAGTCTTTAATTGATTGTGTACCTCACATAAGTGTCTGTCATCACTTGATACCTTTATCTGGTACTAAAACAAATGTAGCCGCCTCTAATGAAATTTGAAGTTTGGGAAGGAGATATTGTAAAACTCAAGAATGGGGAAAAAAGCATTTTTAACAGAAGTATGTATGAAGGAAATATTTTAAGTATAATCTACCCAAAGAAAATAACTGCTACAGCCAACATAAAGGTTTTATTCCTTGTTTTGTTAAGTAACTTCACTCCAAATTATGACATTCTTTAGAGAAAATATTTTCCTTAAGAGTAATTATTTACGTGTTTTATTGGGGGAGCATATTTTCAGGGGGGCAACATCTTCCTAAGAACATTTGATTAGCCTCACTTCTGCCCTCAGCTTCTACGTTGCTTACTTTTCTTTTTTTTTTTTTCTTTTTTTTTAAATTTATTTATTATTATTAAACTTCAAGTTGTAGGGTACATGTGCACAACGTGCAGGTTTGCTACATATGTATACTTGTGCCATGTTGGTGTGCTGCACCCATCAACCCGTCATTTACATCAGGTATAACTCCCAATGCAATCCCTCCCCCCTCCCCCCTCCCCATGATAGGCCCCGGTGTGTGATGTTCCCCTTTCAAGATACTTCTTCTGAGCCCTTTTCTTTGTGTGCCCAGCTCCCTGTTATGTAATTAAGTAGTTGATTACCGTTCCAAATGCTTCCACTACTCAAGTCTGTTGTCCACAGGTGGTACCTGATATTTTCCTACTATTAGGCTGAAAAGGAGTGAGAAACTAAAGTGGCTTCCAAATATTTGTGTCTTGGCTTCTTCACCCTAGTGCAAAATAGGAAATGTTTATTGCCAGTCATTTCCTTTCCATTATTCCTTTTAACCACATTACAAAAAGCTAGTATTTTGTGTTTAGAAGGAGACTTGTATTAAAAGACAAGATTCTTAGTAGTTATTCATCAGGCTTATGTTTCCTGGTGTATTTCTTCTAGGAGAGGTAGAAGGACATTTTGTAGTATTTTTCTAACAGCATTAATATAATGCTGCTTGGGTTATCAGAAAGTATTGAATACTTCAGATAAGTCAAGTTAGTATTTAGTATAGCAGTGGTTCTTCAGAACACAGGAAACTGGGATATTATGTAGCATTATGCTGTTTCCATTATTGTTTTTCATTGCGTAACACTTTTAATTTGTGTGGTGGTATAAAATTTCCCTCTTTACTAAAAAAAATCTAGTTTCATTCTTATCCCTTGCCATATTAAGCAGTTTTTATCTTCATTTATGTTTTAAATTTTCTTAATCTTAGAAGAAAAAAAAAACAGAACAAAAGAGAAATGTCATGACTTAGAAAAGGAAATTTAAGTTGTATGGAATACTGTAGCTTTATTTTCTGGCATTTCTGCTTGTAGATAGATTAGAAAATCCTTGTTTCTTTTGTTTGCTTTGTTTTACAATCCAGTAAGTTTGAGGAACTTGACATTTTAAAACTGCAGTTTTATTTTTAACTACATAAGAGACTGGTCATGTAAAATGCACTGCTGTGTTGGCGTGGATATGTATGTGACAATTCACCTCATTAAAGCTCTGTTGCTGTGGTAGGCATTCAGTTATTCCTAATAGTTTATTTTAGGTACTATACTGCTATCCTATTTGCTGAAATTATAAATACTAGCAAAAGGAATGATTAAATGTACCGTAATTCTCATTCTTTGGGTGAATAAAAGCAGAAATTTAAAGGTGCTATATCACATAAAGTTAATGCTTCAGTACTAAAGTTTTGAAAAATATTCCTAAAAATTTCACAGGCATGAATTTTTGAAAAGGAGACGAAACCACATATACACATAGAGGAATTTTTAAAGACTGGCATTTTAAAGTGTAGCTGGTAAAAATGGTATGAATCCTTACGTGTAGAATTTAAACTTGTTGAAAATAATCTAAGCTGCAACAATCTCTGTAACTGTTCTTCCACAGTTGTACATAGAGATAAGAATTTGTCTTACTAAAAGGTAAATGGAAGATTAAAAAAGATGAAAAAGATTGTTTTTCCTCTGTTCTATGTGGACACTTAAAAGTATAGCCAAGCCTTAGCTCAAATGAGTTGCCTTTGTGTGAGACAGGGCCTCAGACTGTCACCCAGGCTGGAGTGCAGTGGCATGATCACAGTTCACTGTGAGCTCAAGCAGTCCTTGTATCTCAGCCTCCTAAGTAGCTGGGACTACAGGCATGAGCCACCATGCCCAGCTAATTTTTTTTTTAATAGCTACAAGGTCTCAAACTCCTGGCCTCAAGCAGTCCTCCCGCCTCAGCCTCCCAAAGTGTTGGCCACTTTGCCCAGCCATGAGTTGCCTTTTGAGTTGTCTTCCTTAACTGCATCAGTTCATCCCATATTCAGTATATGCACTTTTTCTCACATTGTTTTTCTGTTTTTCTTTTGTGTGTCCACACTCATTTATTTCTACACTGGTGTTTCACTCACTGCTTATTAAGCTATCTGCATGTGGACCTACATTTATAAATTATAATTCCAATCAGAGAAATAAGAACTTGATTGGGACAGAGTTGGGAAATGTTTGTGATGAAAATTATTAGGAATAAGGAAATAACGATGCTGTGTGAGAAAGCAAGTAGACTCACAATTCTGAGATACAAACATCTGCAATCAACATAGAGAGGGCTACTTTACAAAAATGATATATCAGTGCCCGTATGGACAAATCTCTAAAAAGTTTTGTCAGCCGGGCGCGGTGGCTCATGCCTGTAATCCCAGCACTTTGGGAGGCCAAGACGGACAGATCATGAGGTCAGGAGATCGAGACCATCCTGGCTAACACAGTGAAACCCCATCTCTACTAAAAATACAAAAAAAAAAATTAGCCAGACGTAGTGGCGGGCGCCTGTAGTCCCAGCTACTCCAGAGGCTGAGGCAGGAGAATGGCATGAACCTGGAAGGCGGAGCTTGCAGTGAGCCAAGATCACGCCACTGCACTCCAGCCTGGGCGATAGAGCGAGACTCCATCCAAAAAAAAAAGTTTTGTCTACCGTGTAAGTAAAGGAACCTCAAAGCTTCGTAAAGTGGTTATTTTTCTCTAGGAAGCCCATGTGTTTTCCCACTCCTTCCCCAGCTTTTCCTGCTGCCCACTGCTCCAAACACTGACATCCAGTGGCCAGAGACCAGTCCAAATGGAGCACTAAGACTACATACGGATGGTGATCATATTGTTTAAAATGTTATTGCAACATGGTATGTAAAGTGCACAGGTCTTAAGTATATGGCTCAATAAATGTTTCCATATGTATGCACCCATATAACCATCACTCAGATCAAGACAAGGCTCCCAGTCAATACTCAGACATAACCACCATTCTGACCTCTGTCTCTGTTGTTGACATTCCTATATATGGAATTATACAGTCTATAGGTTTTTGTGTGGTTTGATTTGATCAGCATTATGTCTGTGAGATGCATCTATGTTGTTGCATGTAGCAATAACAATAGTTTGTTCTTTTTCATTGCTCTGTAGTATTCCATCCAATAAATCACAATTTATCCATTCTACCATTGATAGACATTTTGGTTATTTGTAATTTTTAGCTTTTATGTTTAAAGCAGCCATAAGCATTCTTGTACATATCTTTTAATGGACATGTACGCTCATTTCTCTTGTGTGTCCACTTAAAAGTGAAACAGCTGGCTGCAGTGAGCCATGATCATACCACTGCATTCCATCCTGGGTGACAGAGTGAGACCTTGCCTCAAAAAACAGACAAAAAAAAGGAGTGAAACTACCGAGTCATAAGATGAATATATATTTAGCTGTAGAAGATATTACCAAATAGTTTTCAACAATGGTTGTACCAATTTGCATACCCACCAATAATGTATAAGTGTTCTAGTTGTTCCACATCCTCATCAGTACTTGGTACCATCAGCCCTAGTAGTTTAGCCGTTCTGACAAATGTGTACATTTGATTGTGGTTTTAGCCATTCTGGTGATTTTGTATTTCACTGAGGTTTCAAGGTGCATTTTCCTGATAAGTAGTGATGTGTGGAACACCTTTTTATATTATTAGTCATTTGGCTATCCTCAATTGTTAAGTGCCTGTCAAGTCATTTGTTCATATTTATTGGGTTGCCTTTTTCCTTATTGACTTGCAGGAGTCCTTTATATTTTATGGATATGAGGGTTTTTGTCTGATATATTACCATAAATGTCTTCTCTTTAGTTTGCTTTTCCACTTTCTAAGTGCTTTCCTTTGATGACCAAAAATTTTATGCAGTCCAGTATACCAATCTTTTATTTAATTGCTAATAATTTTGTGTCATATTTAATAAATGTTCACACCAAGGTTATGAAGACATTCTTATATTCTTCTAAAAGCTTTATTGGCCAGGTGAGGTGGCTCATGCCTGTAATCCTAGTCCTTTGGGAGGCCGAGCCGGGTAGATCACTGGATGTCAGGATTTGGAGACCAGCCTGGCCAACATGGTGAAACCCCATCTCTACTAAAAATACAAAAATTAGCCAGGCATAGTGGTGCATGCCTGTAATCCCAGCTACGTGGGAGGCTGATTCAGGAGAATCGCTTGCACCCAGGAGGCAGAGGTTGCAGTGAGCCAAGATCACA